CTTTGTTCAGCGCTCGGAGGAGGTGCTTTTAAAGGGCCAGCTGTTGGAGGGACTTGGGGGACCCCCCTCCCCCAGAGCATCGCCCTGTGGTCAGGGCGACTGCAGTGGAGTCCCGCAGCCGAGCCACGCGCCCTGCCCGCCCGGTGGATTTCTAGTCTTTGAAGGAAAGTTCGCTAGGATGCAGGGGATGGGAGGCGGGATTTTTTTTTTTTTCCAGGTTTCTTTCCTTTCTGCTCTTTTTCTTGGTGGGTGGGGGGTAGTGCGATCATGGCCTCTGCCAGGAGAGCATGTCCGCTCGCTGCGGGCTGGCTGCGATATGGGTGGGTGGGGGAGACATGAAAGCCCGGGTGGGTTTGTGCTGTAAAGTGAAACTACCGGGGCCTCTCTGCAGCAGCCCCAGGAAGAAGGAAGGAGCGAGCGGCAGGATGGAGGCATCTCAGGTGTGTTCATTCGTCAGCACCTCTTCCCCCACCCTGGAGCAGTGGGCGGCTGCGGGGGCGCAAGGACGCGTCGAGGTGTGTGTATCCGGGGACACCGTGCCTGCCCATCTCGCCCATGCCCCTTCATTCCGCCAAGTGGCTGACAGCATCTTGCTAGGCAGCTCGTCACCGAGAGGGGCAGAAAGCGATTCTTTTCTCCGAATTCCCTGGGCATCTCTGGCTCCCACCTTGCTGCTCCAACGTGGCTTCCTTGATAAGCGGTAGTGACATTCAAGATAGAGGGAGGAAGAGGCTAGAAGTCATTACGTGCCTTTCTTGGGAGAATGTGCTGTCGAATTCTGACCCCCCCACCATCTGCTGTCACAAGATGGCTTTGAAATTCAGTGCATGCTTCTTCCTTTGGGCAGCCAGAATTTATTATGCTATTACATTGCTACATAAAAGCAGAAGGAATCCCACTGAAGGTGGCTCATTTTATCTAGTTCCCGGCTTTCCCCCGCATGTTCTGGCTGAGCCTTTGGTTTTTTGTTTTAAACACGTTGCTGGCACGTCGCTGGGGTGTTCTCCTTGTCTCAGGGCCGACCTACTGAAATTGCTCAAGTTGATTTCACTGTCAGTTGGAGGGAGGTTCATTTAGACACTCATGGAACCTATGTGGCGTGTCAGGCCTCTGCACCATCCCTACCCCACCCCTGTGTGCGTGCATTTCCTCTCATGGGTAAAGGCCAGGGAAGGCTCGCCTGTCTCTCTTCTCTTTGGTAATGACTGAAAGGGGGTGGTGGATTAAAGGGGGGTGGGTAGCAGAGAGAGACAGCAGTGTCAGTGACAGAAAATACATAGTGAATATTTAAGGGTCCATAGCTTCAGCCTTCACAGACTTGGATGAGGCAGATGGCTATCTACAGAGTGAGGTGTGTGTGTGTTGGCTGTCGGGGGAGGAGTGGTGGAGGGAGTGGTGGAGGAGGAGGATACTGCCAGCAATTTTCTGCCCCACCCTCCTGATGCTGCTTTAAATAGCTCCTAGCTAGCCAAGCCCTGAAGTGTCCCTCTCAGCCTGAGGGGGACAAAGAGGGAAGGGCTGATCTTTTGGCACCTCTGCCCTGGGCACTGTTGGAATAGATGGTTAGGAAGGAGTTTTCCAGATGAGGCAGAGCTTTTTTGTCAGCTGAAGGACCTGTGACAACTGGCTGTGGTGACTTTCCTGCAGGATTGAAATAAAGTGCTTTCTACCCTGTGAAGAGATGGGGGTTCATCATCATCTTCATACAGTGCCAACCCCTATTGGCCCTTTCTTCCTCTTACCTGTTTGTATTTGTTGTAGTTGAAAAGTTTCTGTAAACTTTTAAAAGAGATTGGGATTATTTGGGAGTGGGTTATTGTCATAGGAAAGGACAAAAAAGTGCTTCTTATTGGAAGAACAAAAAACTGTTCAGCTTTCCCCCTTTACCCCCTCTCCAAAATAGAGTTCAGTACAGATAGCAGAGTGTGAGTTTTCTTTGTAGCGAATGAAAGGCTAGGGCCCAGGACAGAAAGCTTTTATTGTGTAGCACTGTTAATCACCTGGTCATCCCAGTTCAGCTCTCTGTACCCTTCCTTAGGCATGGAATTGGGTTTGCTGAGGAGGTACTCACTAGTAGGTTAGGATTTAACCTGTCTCTGTGAAATAGGGACAGATGGTCTCCCACAAAACATTGGTGGGAAAATTCTGGAACAGAAGCCGGATAGTTGTCTTTGCTCCTGGCCACCAATCTTACCTGGTTTTGGGATAGTGGCTTCTACTTCTGCACATGTGTCCTTGTTGGTAAACTAGGGCCTTTAGAACATAAGATGTTCCGTTTTTTTTTTGTTTTGTTTTGTTTTGTTTTTTTACATGCTTTCTGTTAGGTAACTTGATGTTAAAATCATAGTATTGAGCAATGGCATGAAAGAAGGTTTCTAGGGCTCAGGCTACTATTGGTTTCAAATTCATCTTTTCCTTGATGGGTGTGATTTGTGAAGTTTTACTGTGTAAATAATTCTGAGGTAGGATGGTCCAGAATGAGGGGTGTCTATGAGGGTAGCTGGTTGGGAGATCAAGGTGGGATGGCAGATTACTGAGGAAATGGAGTTTCCCGAATTAATTCTTCCTCAGCGTATGTGTAAGTCACCATTTTATTTATGATTGTATAGGTGATCATTGAGGTACTGAGAACCTAGGGATTGGAAGAGAACTCTGTGATTGACCTGTTCGATCCCACTCTCTGAGGAATTTGAACAGTTGGGAAGTTTGGCCTCTTGTCTGAGATCGTACAACTAGAAAGATGTAGAGATAGGGAAGGAGCCCAGGGGGATAGATTCTGGATCCTGTTTTCTAGACATGTTGGTTAAAGCCCTCCCTCTTGTTTTGAGAGAGGAATCTAAAATGAGAAAAAGTGAAGAGGATGTAGGAATAGGAACAGGGAAACTGGAGAAACAGACAAGACAAGATAGAGAAAGGGGAAGGGGAGCCAAGCTGGGAGGAGAAAGGGATGAAGATTGAAGAGGGGGCTCTATTAGCTGGGAAAGGGGCAGAGCATTTCTGTACCCTTGGACTGAAGTAAGGACAAGGCTTGGACAAGGATGCATGGGCGGGGGTTGGGATGAATGGGGAGTCCAGCCTGGGCTGAGCCTGACTTGGACATCTCCTCTGACCCTCAGACAGCAGAGTAAAATGGAAGGTGCTTAGTTAGGACTAAATGAGGCCTTTAGTTCTACTGAGACTTTTAGAACTTCAACATATAAAGTCAGATGTGCTGGTGGTCACGTTACCAGATGCTTGAGATGGGGCCTAGTTTTGCTGAAGTCTCAGTTTTTTTTTTGTTTTTTTTTTTGTTGTTTTGTTTTGTTTTTTTAGATGTAAAATCAAAAAGTTGTCCATAGGGTTTTTGTTTTGTTTTGTTTTTTTAATGAAAGCAGCATTTTCTCTGACTTTCAGTGTACATTTGTACAATTGTATGTTTTACAATAGAGCATTTTTTGTATTCCCTTTTCAGGGGAGAATCTTGTAGATGACTGATTCACCAAATTGTAGGTCATCTGGGGGAGATTCTGGGCTTCAATCTGAGCTAAGACTCAGGATGTTCAGCGAGCAATTAAAGAGCTGAGAACAGTGGTTAACCAGCACATTAACCACTCAAAGGCAAGGATAAAAGGTGATAATACTTTGAAGTCTATGGTTCAAGCCAGCAGCTGGCCATCAACTGTAATTTCCTTTGGCTAGCTCCGTGGGCCCTAGGACATGTCTCTGTGGATCTTTCAGTAGCTTCCATTTTTTTGGTGTGGTTAGGCATTTTGTGTGGCCCTGAGTCGTGTTCTCACCCATTCGAACTGCACCTTTCTCCCATGTCCATCCTAACCCCCACCTTTGTATCTTTCTCTTTGCCTTCCTCCCTCACACTTCCTTCACTGTCAATAATATAGCTTTGTTATAATATATATATTGCATCATTAAAATTTCATGTTGTTTTTTGGGTACCAGGGATTGAACTCAGGACTTTGTGCTTGCAAGCAGGCGCAGTGACACTGAGCTAAATCCCTGGCCCTTGTTCTTTGTCCTTAAGATAGTTGAGTTTAGACTTTTTTGAATGTGTATATATTACACACAAAACAGACAAAACCCAGTTAAACTGCTTTGTACTTCTGTGTGGAATTCCACTGATCTTCTTGCCTCCTTTTTTGTGGTCAGTATGACTCTTTATAGAGAAAAAATTTCAGGTCTTTGTCTTGTGATTATTGTTTTAAAAACAAAATCAGCTATAACAATAGAAAAAGTTTCCACCCTTGCATTTATGAACCACAAGGGACACTCTCTCCCAAGAGATATGCCCTATTTCTCAAATTCCTTCCATGGAAGGAGTGTCTTCAGTTTGTTCTCTACAAGGCCTATACTGTAAGTTTTTGGGTGCGGATGGTGGAGGTGGTGCTCTTGTCAGTGATTCTGGTAATGCTTAGAGGGGAGGCCAGGCAGGAAGAATTTACCATGATGAGTTTTCTGTATTTCTGTGGTCTATGCTAAGCCAACTGGCTGTTGCAGGACCCAGATACCTTTGGAAAAGAAGGAGGTGCTTCTCACCTTACTGTTGGGTAGGACCCTTTCGGTTCTAGGAGGGTGGGAAACCACCAGCAGGTTGCTGGTATAAAATTCCAGGTGCTTTTGATGTATGTGTGCTATATAGTTTCATAATTTTCTTCTGACCCTCATTAATTACAGAGAAAATTTAGTATCGATGATCAGTGGTCAGCAATTAGTTTTGTTTTTAAAGTGGGTTTCCTAAAGTCTCCAGTTTTCAAAGTCTCCAGTTTTTATATTAAAAATCCATATGTTTTATATTGAACTGTATAATATGTCTTTGCTAGTTTTAGAATAAAAGTTTTTGATTAACTTTGCTGTCCAGGAAAATGTGTTTATCTTAAGCTCTCCCTAAGTATGCACATCTGTCCATACCCCACCCAGAGGAGTAGGACATGAGTCTATGGGGTAGTCTCAGATCTGCTGGGTTGAGAACTACCTCTCCAGTCTTACCCGCTGAGTCTTCCATGTTCCAGAAGGCCAGGCTTTCTCTGTACTAACTTGTTCCCTCATCAGAGGCTTTTCCCTCCATTTCCTAGCTGGCTCCTACTTTTCCTTTCAGGCTTCCTTCACATCTAAAAGAAGTGCATACAGATTGTTTTAAAAGTCAAATTACACTACAAGAAAAATATAAAAGGCTTACACAGAAGTCTTCGTCATCCTTCCTCCTCTTGATGACCCATTCCTCAGAGCCAGTCACTGAACATGATTTTCTGATGCTTCAGGGACAAAGTTCCACAAATTTAGTGACCTAAAGAAACCTAGATCTATATTATGGTACTGTAGGTTAGGAGCCTGAAAAGTGTCTCACTGGGCTAAAAATTAAGGAGTAAATAAGGCTGAATTCCTTCTAGGAAGAGTTTTCTTTCATATTCCAGCATCTAGAGGCTGCTGGCATTCTTACCTTAGGGTC